CTGTGATGAGGTTATACTGATGAAGTTTACAAGATTGGATAGTGTCTTAATCCAATCTCTTTTGAGATATAAAAGAGAGAAGCGAGCAGAGACACATGGGAACCTCATACCACCAAGAAAGCAGTGCTGGGAGCAGAGCGCGTCCTTTGGACCTGAGGTTCCTGTTCAGAGACGTTCCCAGACCAAGGGAAGATTCATGACATGGACCTTCCTCCAGAGCCGATGGAGAAAGTGTACCCCCGGAACTGACGCCCTGAATTTTGGACTTGTAGCCTACGGGACTGTGAGAGAATAAACTTCGCTTTGTTAAAGCCATCCACTTGTGGTATTTCTGTTATAGCAGCACTAGATGACTAAGACATAGCATTATAATACAAAGTAGCATATGACAAGACAAATAGAAAACACTTGACCCTATGACAGAATTGAACTGAATTTGTTATCACTGCTACTTGCAAATTAAAGACAAGAACGTTTATAAAACTAAAAGCAACCCAGAGGTTGAGAGGTAAGAGCTAAGCCAATGAAGACAACAGAGCCATGGCTGGAGTGAGTGTTTGCTCCCAACACTGTTTCTTGGTGGTACGAGGTTTCCATGTGTCTCTGCTTACTCTTTTATATCTCAGAAGAGATTTGCTTAAGACACTATCCAATCTTGTATACCTCTTTAGTATAACTGCCGCTAATCCATCTTATTACGTCACAGTGATTGAATTTACAACATATAAGGAAATGACATCAGATTACAAAATGGTACACAATCGTACAATACTGGGAATCATGACCCAGCCAAGTTGACAGATATTTTTTGGGGACACAGTTCAATCCATGACATGCTATTTTTGGAATTAATAGTGTATCTGAGTTGGTATGGATAAATATGTATGTTCATAGTTCGTCCACCTTACTCCCTCCCCCTTGGTATTATTTTCTTCGTCTGTTTTAAATGGCCATGTCTTTCTCACAGGGTGAGTTGAAGATCAAATGGGTATGAAAGCATTTGATTTCATTAAAAAACAGCCAAGTACTACACAAATGTTTCAAAATGTTATCCGAGTTCCTAACAACTCAGTTATTCAAGAACTAATGACCTAGTTATGCAATATCTAAGCCCTTTCCCTTTGCAGTGCTTGTTACCATGGCAATGCTTGTTACCATGGCCATCAGGTAGGCAAAGTGACGCTTAAGCCAGTGTTCACTATGGCTCCGGCTGGCTAAACTGGTCCTGGGAACTACCAAAAGACCTAAATCCACTGCCATCGAGTCGATTCCGACTCATAGCAACGCTATAGGACAGAGTTGAACTGCCCCATAGGGTTTCCAAGGCTGTAATCTTTACGGAAGCAGACTGCCACATCTTTCTCCTGCAGAACAGGTGATGGGTTCCATCTGCCAAACTTTAGGTTAGCAGTCGAGTGCTTAACTACTGCACCACAAGAGTTCCTTCCTTGAAACCAGCAGCTAAAATTAAGCTTTGACTACTGGTGGATTTCTGTGTTTGCTGGCCTGGCTTCCCGTTCATTGGCTCTGTAGGAAAAATCGGCAGTTCAATTTCGTATGGAGTCTGTTGTAAGAATTAATTGTTTTGTTACGGTACCATCCTTTGGTTAAAAAAAACTAAAGGAAAAAAATTGCATTTTTTTTTCATTTTACCTTTATTGAGCAGGCAGTCTTGTGGTCCTAAGCCACCTGGATAGAGGTGTGATGGTGACAGAGTGCTGGCTGCCTGCCCAGCTCTGATTGCTGCGTGAACACCACCCAGCATGGCTGCTCCTCCCTCCTGCTTTGCATGAGGCATGTTTGTCTGTCTGCTGCAGTTCAGCCTTTAATAGGGGCCAACTGAGGTAAAAGTCCTGTTGAGCTTGTTTCTAAACTAATTCCATTACTCTGTTCCAGAAAATATTTTCAGAACCTGGAAGCTTATCCATGACAACCATCACCAAGCTTCGAGAGAGCTGCAGAGCAAAGTTACTCACTCAGGGATGAGTCGGCGGGCTCCTCAACTGCACATTCCTCCACCCTTTGCACTGACAAAGGATCGTCATTTCCAGAGTTGACACTTGACCAGTTTTTACTGCTTTTCTTTTCAGTGTTGTAAATACACACTGTCACTACACTTTAGTCATGGTTTTTTTAAAAGAGCTTTTCAAATCATGTCATTCTACAACTCTTAGGTTATGAGATGTGAAGCTACAAATTATTAAAGAAAAAATATTTTTACTTGAGACATTAATAATACAGAAAACACGAGATATGTGCATTTGTATTTAATAAAATATGTCAACACCTGTGAGTTTGTGATTATCAGATTTAAAATTAAAATAGTGAACCGTCACTATTGTGTTATTAATGCCAATTAAGATATTCTGTTCCTTTTTCTGTTGAGGGTGGGCATGGAGCAGTAATTTTGCTTTAGACTAGTACTTTTTTAAAATTCCTTTTAAAAGATTGTGTTACACAATAAGACCACTATTATAAGAAATCAAGAAAAAGCTTAAACACAGAAAAAAACGTTCTTTGATGGTTACAAGGGTGGGGAGGGAAGAAGAGGGGTATTCACTAACTAGAAAGTAGACAAGAATTAGGTGAAGGGAAGGACAGTACACACTGCAGGGGAAGTCAGCACAACTGGACTAAACCAAAGTGAAGAAGTTTCCTGAACACAACCAAACACTTCGTGGGACAGAATAGCAGGGGCGGGGGTCTGGGGACCATGGTTTCAGGTGACATCTAGGTCAACTGGCATAACAACGTTTTTTAAGGAAATATTCTGCATCCCACTTTGGTGAATGGTGTCTGACGTCTTAAAAGCTAGTGGGCGGCCATCTAAGATGCATCAATTGGTCCCAACCCTCCTGGAGTAAGGGAGAATGAAGAACACAAGGAAAGAGCCCAAGAGACAGAAAGGGCCACATAAACCAGACACTTCATCAACCTGCGACCAGAAGAACTAAATGGTGCCCGGCTACCACAATGACCACCGTGACAGGGAACACAACAGAGTCCCTGATGGAGCAGGAGAAAGGTGGGGTGCAGAACTCAAATTCTAGTAAAAAGACCAGACTTTATGGTCTAACCAAGACTGGAGGAACCCCAAAAGGTATGGCCCCTGGACTCTCTGTCAACCCAGAACTAAAACCATTCCCGAGGCCAACTCTTCAGATAAAGATTAGACTGGACTATGGGACATAAAATGATACTCGTCAAGAATGTGCTTCTTAGCTCAAGTAGATACATGAGACTAAATGGGCAGCTCCTGGCTGGAGGCGAGATGAGAAGGCAGAGAGGGTCAGGAGCTGGCAGAATGGACATGGGAAATCCAGGGTGGAAAGGAAGAGTGTGCTGTCACAGTACAGGGAGAGCAACTAGGGTCACAAAACAATGTATGTATAAATTTTTGTATGAGAGACTAACTTTCACTTAAAGCACAACACTAAAAGATTGTTACACAAAGAATAAACCCGACATAGTGTGTAAACCTCAGGAATCTGGAGAGTTCGATACAGGCCCAGGAAAGCCTCAGTCCAGTCATTTCATCCTAGGTCCTCCGAGGAGGGAGCGGTGTTTAAAATGGCCGCCTGAGGCTAAGGCTAACCAGACTTCCAGGCCAGCCTGGGATAAGGGAGGCTTGGGAAAGAAAGGAATCTGCTTTAAAGTTCCATGATACACCCAGCCAGCACTTGCGCCTCCGGCAGGGCAGTAGGCTCTGAAATCTACCCTACTGAGTCCCTTCCACTTGTCAGTCTCCCTGCCTGAAATAGTGACATGCCCCCAGGCTGGATGAAGAAATCTGTTGCCTGGGCAGGGTGTAAGCAGCCCTGGTGGCGCAGTGGTTAAGCACTCGGCTGCTAACCAAAAGGTCAGTGGTACAAACTCACTAGCCCTTCCACGGGAGAAGGATGTGGCAGTCTGCTTCTGTAGAGATTACAGCCTTGGAAACCTTACGGGACGGTTCTACTCTGTCCTGTAGGGTCGTTATGAGTCGGAATTGACTTGAGGGCAGTGGGGTTTGGTTTGGTTTGGGCAGGCTGAGTCCTGCGTGGGACGGGCAGAGGAGGAGCCTACTGATGGCTGTTCGCGAGCTTGCAGACTCAGCAGCTTAAGCATCTTCTGTTGTTACTTGTAAACATTCCTTGGTTTTTCCAATTACAAACAGTTGTTTGCCAAAATCTTGTGGGAAAATTGTATTGTTTTATTTCATTCTGTATGTATTTATGTTTTAGCATTCCCTATAGATTTCTGCCTGCACACCTCAGTTGACTGGCTTCTTAAATTAGATCTGCCTTGATAAACGTTTCACCTCCTCTCAGAAAGAGGAAAGGAGGTCAGTACTGAGTTCATTCTGAACTCTAAGCATTTTAGTGAAAGGAAGCATGGTTTAACCACACTGGTAAAGTCATCCAACTGCAGCAGCCTGGGGAATTGCAAGAGCCCTGGCTACTGGGTCCCAAGTTCTGGATTCCGGCTCTGCCACCTCCGTCCATCTCACCAGACAGACCACTGTAAACTCCTTGGCCCCTTTTTCTCACCTTTAGCAGGAGACAAGCGGACTTCATTGCTAAGGTGCCTTCCCTTCCACCAGGGAAAGAGCGGAGCAGATACCACAAGCTTATCCATTAATAAAGCTGGTGTCAGGACCAAAAAGTGATAATGTCCTAATTCATAACTCAGACATTGTTGTTATGAGGCTTACTACTAGGAAGTGAAACCAGAGACTGCAGTAAATCACAGCTGAGCGCTGAGTCAGTCACAGAGTTCAGGAAGGTGAAAAGGATCTTGGAGATCATTGAGGCGGGGAGATCAAGGCCAGCCTTCTCGCTTTACAGCTAAAAACATTCAGTGAACTCAAGTGACTTGTGTTGACTGGAGTTCGTCGTAACTGGCACAGCAAACCTAAACTTTGGTTTTTTTATTCCTTGCTGCTTTCATTCCCAAAATGCTTATGGAGGCTATATTAGCATCCCAGTAAAAGTGGTACTTACTGCATTATAGAATGAGGATGTTTGCTTTCTTGGTGGACTTGAAAATTTTGTTTCATCTCTATCTGCTACTAGAAGGACACTGCCACCACCTACATATGTGTGGTTTGGCTTATGGTCTCATAAATTTGCAGTCATAATACTTAATACGTGGCTCCAAATGCCTCAATTCCAGGAACTTGTGGGGCATACTCTACCTTGGGCAGGATGAACGCGGCATCTCTGAGGCAGTTCACTAGAAGGAACAGTTTTACGCTAACTTAGCCAACTGAATATCTTAAGAACTCATAAACTCCCTTGAAGGAACCCAAAAAATGAGTGTGGTTCCTTTTGAAATACCAACAGGTGAAATCTCTAAAGCAAGTCACCTGGTAGTTGGCTTTTCCTTAGCATTAACCCCTAGTTGTCAGCACATTCACGGCCTCACATTACTGCTGTCAATCTACTAGGGAAAAGAATGTTGTCCACTTTCAGGGTTACTAAGTGGGGCGTCTTGTTCGCATGCCGGGACCTTCTCATTGGTTTTGTTCCTGGGTAGCTTTCACTGCCTGCTTCAGTATATGGTATTTTCTTAATGCTTAACCATGAATCCCAAAACATCTGCAGTCCTGTACACTGGCAATGATAACAGGCCGTGACTGTTAGTCTCTCTCAATTCTGGATTAGGCATAAAGTGATCATTTTCGTATCATTTCAACACTTGACATGAACTGTTCCAAGAGTTTATCTATACTGTTTAGACTGGAGAAATTAACCAAAGAAATGTCTTAGTCTCTGTAACTCTTGTGATAATCTTGCTATTTCAGGGCCTTAAAAAGCTCCATCCTCAGGGATCTTGAGTTTTCACATCTTTAGCAACAGACTGTTGAGAACTTAAATTTTGTTCTGATCTCAATATCCCTGCTCACATGGGCCACACTCTTCTATTCTTGGTTTGAAAAGGACTGCTTAAACTCTTAAGGCTGGACACAGCAGACATAGCAATATTAAAATTATACAGAGCTCTCTTAGGTTTTGTAAAATATCATATTTGGGAGTAAAAATCCACATGGGGTTGGGAAGATGGCAGCATAAACAAACCATCGTCTGACCCTCCCCCACAAATACAACAAGCACTACAAGGAAACGGTGGTTGACTTTGACGGACTCTGAATTGGGGAGCAGAAGAAAACACTGGGGAACTACAGACAGGCAAGAATCAACAGATCAACAAGCCCCATCTAATAGGAGAATCACTTCTCCCACAGCGCCTGCCCCTCCCCAAGCCATGTGGGCTGCCAGCTGCTGTGAACTGGGTAGTGGCCCCAGAAAAAGAGCCTGCTTCCTAACCACCACACCTCCTGCCAGTACAAAGACAGTACTCCACACTTCTGCCCTAGGATCAACAAAGCAGACCTCCCTGGGGGTCCATTTGGAGTGTGCCAGCACCTTCCCAACCCAGACACTGTCACCTGCAAGCCTGCTGTGAATTGTTACAGAAGGCTCCTGCAGTGGAGTCTGCTTCCATAGTCAGCAATCCGCCTACCTCCCTATACACCCCATAGCTCAGGCCTCTGAAACCAACAGATCAGTTTGGGTCTGTCTGCTCCCCCTTACAGTCGGTGCTAAGGACTGCTGACTGAGGCTGCTACGTGCTAGGAAGCAGGCATCTTGTGTGGAGGCTACACTCCCAGCCAACATACTATGGGACGGGCTCTGTTGGCAACAAGGAAGACCTCCTTGGAGTCTGTTCGGAGTGCAACTACCCCTCCCCTAACCAGTAACTGTTGGCTGCTGGGCTGATATGAACTTCTATAGAAGGTTCCCAACCGTGGAGTCAGGAGGTGGGTCACCTAAGTGGAGACAGCTCCCCCAACCACCAGAGGGCCACCGGGGCTCTGAAACCATTAAGACAGATCTCTTGGAGGTCCTTCTGGGGAATGCCAGCCCCTCCTCCTCCTCAAACAGAGAGAAGTCTGCATGTGCTTCCCGTGAACGCCAGCTCAGACATGAAAATAAAACCAAGCCGTTACCGTCATGTCAGTTTCAACTTATAGCCCCCAAAGAGCAGGGAGGAAACTCTGGGCAAAACTGGAGTCCAAAGGGGACTCGCTGGGTGTGGGTTTTCTGACTAAAAACGTTACTGCAGAAACAGAGAAGCGAAAGGAATAATAACCAGAGAGGGGACTGCGTGCCCTGGAAGGCAGACTGATTAGTACATGATATCTCACCTGAGAGGTGGTGCTCACTATCGGACAGACTGACCACAGGATGTTCTCTGGTGTGTTTGAGATTTAAAGTTGAAAAATGAGATCTGGAACTTTCAAATCCCAATAAAATCAGGGAGGGAGAAGGAACTATCACAGAGATGGAGGTGAAATGGTAAGTAAAGTCCAATGGCTCTGTCCACCTATGAGTTTCTTGCAGAAAATACTGTGGGCAAACACACCAAACACTGGGGAAAATTGAGAAAGTTAACATCTTTGAAAATTCCAATGCCCCAGCAAAAAATCACAAGACACACAACAGAGAGACAATGGCCCATCCAAATGAACA